AAAAAAAAAAACTACATTTTATTGTTCAAGTTTGAGTTAGCATCAACTTATTTTAGTTTAATTTACATTGTTATTTATATTAGTTAATAATTTTTTATATAGTTTATATTATATTAAATTTAATATTTTATTTATATAAATTATACATGTAATATTTTAAAGTAATTATATATATAACTACATAAAGAAGAAATTGTTTTTTTTTTATGCAGTATAAATATGAAATTGTGTTTTTTATTATTTGTTTAACGATATAAAATTATGTATAATTATAAAATAATTAAATGCATTTAATTAATTTAAAATTTAACATAATTTATACAAATAAAATATTAAATTTAATGATTGATTTAAAACATATAAATTATACAAAAAATTTATTAATAGTTTAAATAATTGTATACATTACAAATATATAAATTGATATATACACACTTTGTCATTACACACTCTGTTATTACACCCTCTGTCACACACTCAGTCCATCTCCGTTCCTCTCCGTTTCTTTGTTAACCCAACAGCTCTCCTTTTCACCCAGCACAACTTTCCTCTTCACCCAGGTTCTTTGATTTTTAACTTTCTTCCTTCTTTCCCCTCTTCCTTCTCTTCCTCTCCTCCCCTCTTCTTCCTTTTCTTCCTCCCTCCTATTTGGGTTCTACTGGAGAACCTAGATCGGGTTCTGTAGCAGAACCCAGATGTAAGAACCCAGATTGGATTCTTCAGATCAGGTTTTGCTGAAGGGCCAAGGTAGCAGAAGAGGAAGGGAAGGAGCAAGAACTTGTGTTGTTGGGTGTCTTCAGAGTTAACAAATTAAATAACGGTTAACGGATTAACTAACGGAGTGAGAGTGTGTAACGGAGGGTGAGGAATTGTGGTGTGTGCCAATCATCGTCCATATGTGATATAATAAAAATGAATTGACTCACTGAGACACTTACCTAAGAGTTTGATTTGCATTTAAAGCTTGTTCTCCAGCTTTCAATGTAGCAGAAACTATTTGTAATAATTTTGTCGATGTTATTCATTTTAACAATCTAAACTCTATTACAATCTCTCACAAACTCAATTTTATAACAAAAAAATAGTTTTTCTAGATCTAATAAGACCATCTAATCACTCTCTTAATAGTTTATGAGTGTTATTAAACTATTCAAACTTTTTATTACAAATTACTCAACTCATCTTATACCTTGAGGATGAATCTATAAATCTAGTTAAGTATCTCCAATCTCTCACTCTTTTTTTTTTGGAACTTGGGAAATTATGAGGGAAGAGAAAATTTTTCAAATTGTTAATAAGAGTTGAACTTTCAATCAACTGTATCTAAAGCATTTAAGATTGAAGACGAACTATTAGATTTGAAAGGTCAGTTTTAATCTCTCTTTCACTTGATGCAATGAAAGAGAATAAAAATAATTCCAAAAAAATATACTCATAGCAAGTGGGTTAGATTGGTTCTTTGAATTGAGTCTAATTTTGTCAAATTTAGCTCACCTTGTGATCATGGTTCAAGGCATTCATATGAGCATTACCACCATTTGATTTGTTTCCCTCTGAAAAGCTCCATGCATTGATCACAATTTCACCTAGTGTTATATCCACGTATTTAATACTATATTATCCAAATACCCTTATAATTCTATATGGTTTTGTAACTTCTAAAGATATCGTTTCCATTATAATGTGAAGGTAGGACAAATATAAAAATACTAAAACGATAGGGGTAAAACTAAAGAAGTTATAACCATATAGGGGCCAACCTGAACCGACCTTAAAAACTTTTCCCTCTTTTTCAGTTTTTCCCTGTGCAAAAGCTTCACAAACAGCCTTCTTTCCCTTCTCCTTCGCTTTCCAATTCTCTTTCTCCCTGATACAATCTTTTCCCTTCTGCTCTCTGCCTCTGCCGTGCCGCCATTGGCAGTGTCTCATACTTTCAATAAAATTCCTGGTCCTTTTTTTTATGCTCTTCATAGAATCCTAGCATCAAAGGGCCGAACAAACCCCTACTCCAATCTTCTCTCTTTCTACCCTTTTGACCCTTCAAATTTCCCACACCCTTCTGTTATAAACCCCAAAACCGTTCCATTTAATGCCCTTTCTCGTTTTAAAACAGATACAAGTGGGTTTTGTTTTCTCTTCAACCTTTGATTTTCATTTTCATTAGGTATTTTCAGTTTCTTTCTAAATGATTACCAAGATGTAAGTTTCACCCCACACAATACAACTTCGCTTTTTCTCTCTTCCACCATGATTAGTATTTGGGATTTTGGTTCCATTTTATTCACTGTTTGATTCTTTCAATCTTTCTGTTGCAGATAACCACTTCTTCGGTAACAGCCATGGCAGATAAAGACCAAGATTTCTATTCCCATAAAGTCCCGTCTGCTTCTCAGGTTTGCCCACATAGAATGAGTTTCTGTTTCTTAATTTCTTTTTTGAATTGTTCTCATATTGGTATATTGCAGGTTATTGAAGAGCTAAAAGAGCTATGGGGCATGGCGTTACCCATTACAGCTATGAATTGCTTGGCCTTTGTCAGACAAGTGGTGTCCGTTCTGTTCTTGGGCAGACTTGGGAGTCTAGAGCTAGCAGGCGGTGCGCTTTCCATCGGCTTCACCAACATCACTGGCTACTCTGTTCTCCTGGGTCTTGCCTCCGGGCTCGAACCAGTTTGCAGCCAGGCTTATGGCAGCAGAAACTGGGACCTCCTCTCGCTCTCCCTCTTCCGCATGATCTTCATACTTTTCCTCGCAATCATACCCATTGGCTTATTGTGGATTAATCTTGAAGGCATTATGTTGTTTATGCGGCAGGACAAAGAAATCACGGCCATGGCTGCGACGTATTGTATGTATTCTCTCCCGGACCTTATAACGAACACGTTGTTGCAGCCGCTGAGGGTGTTTCTGCGGTCACAACAAGTGACGAAGCCGATGATGTGGTGCTCTCTGGTGGCGGTGATCTTCCATGTGCCGCTCAACTATTTGTTGGTGATGGTAATGAGGCTGGGAGTCCCCGGGGTGGCAATGGCATCAGTGGTTACTAACATGAACATAGTGGTGCTGTTGGTTGGGTATGTATGGGTGAGTGGCCGGTCGGAAATGAGATGGACGGCCGGGATTGGGAAGTTGTGCGGTGGGCTGGGTCCACTTTTGGGGCTGGCAGTGCCTAGCTGTCTGGGGATCTGCTTGGAGTGGTGGTGGTACGAGATAGTGACGGTGATGGCGGGTTACCTGCCGAATCCCACACTGGCTGTGGCCGCCACTGGGATTTTGATTCAGACCACAAGCATGATGTACACTGTCCCCATGGCCCTGGCTGGCTGTGTCTCTGCCCGAGTAAGCCCACCCCCACCATCTACTTCTATTACTATTCTTTATTCCGTTTGTATGTGAAGTACTATTGTTATAATTGCTTTCGTTTTGTTCTGTCTATCTTCCCAATTCACATGGGTTATTGGAATTTTGACCTGGTTTATAATCTTGGGATAAGAAGTTCTTCTCATATAAGAGTGGCAGACAATTTAGTTTTGATTTAGATGGATAGATAAAATTTGTAATCAGTGTTTATTCTTCTTATTTTTTTAAAAATTAAGGGAAATTTTATTTTAAAATTATGTTATTTTAATAAAAATTGTAAGACAAAAAAATATAAATTTTGTGGTGGATTCTATTTTTATATATTTAATTTAAGAAGGTTTTGAATTCATCATTTAGAAACGTAGTGACCACCAACTCAAAATAGTGTGTTTAGATGCCTGACTTGAGTTTTAATCCCAGTCTTACTTCCCCTTTTCCAATCAATTCCCCAAGTTCAAAAAAAAAAAAGAAAAAAAAAAAAAACTGAAGGTTTTGTTTTTTAACATTTGAATTATAAATTTATAAACGGTTTAAAATACTATTAATCTTGAAATAGATGTTTAGTCTATTGCTTAACCAATTATGTTTTATAATATCAGTTGTATTAAAGAATTTCTTTTTGTCTCTACCACTATAATTAAAAACTAAGAACCAATTTGTGGTTTGGAGCAATATATACCACAAATTGTTTTGAAAAGACAAAGGAAAGAGATATTTGTTCATGCATCTCCATCGAAAAGGCGGAAAGATTTTGGGAAAACGAAGTGTCATTAATATTACGAGCAAGGTGGAAAGGGGATACCCAAATGGCATCCAAATTTGTTGGGACTGTTTACTTTTTGTAAGTCACACTTGGGATGTGATGGGGAAATTTTGTTGTAGCACAAGCACCATACATTCAATTTGTGTCACGAAACCAAATAGCCAACAGAAGGGAACCCATCTTGACTTTTTGCCTTGTAGGTCTTGCTTAACGTTTACGCATAGTATATGTTTCCTTTTTCTGAAATCCAGGTGGGAAATGATCTAGGAGCTGGGAAGCCATACAAGGCAAAGCTGACAGCAACAGTCGCGTTGGGATGTGCTTTTGTCATTGGCTTCATCAACGTGGCATGGACAGTGATCCTTAGAGAGAGATGGGCAGGTCTGTTCACCACGGATGATCTGATCAAACCATTGGTTGCAACCGTTTTGCCAATCATAGGGCTATGTGAGCTCGGAAATTGCCCTCAAACGACTGGCTGTGGCATCCTACGTGGCACGGCAAGGCCCGTGATTGGGGCCAGGATAAACTTGGGCTCCTTTTACTTTGTGGGCACCCCAGTGGCTGTAGGCCTAGCCTTTTGGCTCGGTGTTGGGTTCCCCGGGCTCTGGTTTGGGCTACTGTCTGCACAAGTGGCTTGTCTTCTGTCCATTTTGTATGTCATCTTGATGTGTACGGATTGGGAAGCTGAGGCTTTGAAGGCAAGGAAGCTCACTAGCGTGGAATTGAGCACATGCAATGGAGATGCGGAAAAGGGATATGAAAAGGATGAGGAGATAAAAGGGTTGTTGGATAATGGGAATGGTAACACAGACGAAGTTTTGTAGAAAGAGAGGGAAGATCTTTTGAAGGGATGGTTGTGGGACTGGCCTTGGTTTCTTTGTTTTACTTTCGCTAGCTTTTTGGGTCTGACTCATGCTTGAGTTTTGTATTTGCTAATTATGTGTTGGTGTTTTCTTGGGGCTGTGTTCTTCTAGTGAAAGGGAATGTAATGTTGAACATCAAATCCTGAAGAATGATCACCCACTCCTTTTTTGTTACGTAATAGTGTTGAGTTAAACATATTTTTCTTTTAAACACCTTTATTTTTTAAGTTTTAGATGGAATTTAAATGTTTACTAAGAAGTTTTATATTTTAAAATTGAACCTTGAAGATGATTTTTTTTTTTTTTTGATAGGAAATAGAGAATTATATTAAATATGAGGAGATTACGGATGAATCTCTAGCAGGCATTATAGCCAAATTAAGGACAAAAGTATAACCTACAGTATTAGTAACAGATTTAAATTGTGCCAATAACATATATGGACAATTAAGCGAAGAGGGTCATCTGCGATTAAATATTGTAGTTACAATCGTTGTAAGGGTAAAAATAGGGCTACAAAAGTAAAAAAGGAGGTCGCAAAAAGTGTCTGAAACTACTGGACATCCTCACCTATTTAGCCGGCTTCATGGGGAGAGCAGGGAAAATTCGACATCAGCAGTCCCCAACCCACTATATGTCATCCCTAACCCATTATATGTCGTCCCTAAAACAGTTTCAATCAATAGGAGGGCCATGCTCCTCCATACAAACCCAGGCACCTCCCTTGTCGCCATGGGCTCCCAGCCATGCCCTAACTATTCCAATCCTTTGCAAGCCCTTGTTGCCAAATTTCAATAAGGGAACTAGAGCCCTTTTTGAGACTGAAGTGGCATTCTCCCTCGTAGCGACTTCACCAACCTCATCCTTTTCCTTTGGCTTACGATCGAAAAAACCAATCAGCCTCCAATGACTACCACTCGGATACCCTAGATCTAAGCAAAATAGAGGCATCACAATAGCGGAGCGCATTGTTTCAGAGAGGAATATGATGCTCAGCATGTGTAGGAAACAAAGCTCTTCTAGATCTGGAAAAACACAAGGTCCACCCAAAACGAGCCTCCTACTGCACCCAGACTAGCCTCCTGTTGCACCATGCCCCTGCCCTTGCCGCACGCCAAGCCCGCGCCCTCGCCCATGCTTGCACCGCGCCCTGCACTAGCCTTGCTTTGCACCAGGTCCCCTCACCTCTGGCAACCCGATCTCTCCTCTGCGCCAAGATCCAAGAGGGGATAGGGAAATTGAGACAAAAAATAAGAAGTAGAGGAAGATGGGCCCTGAAAAAACCAAGGAGAAGCACCTAGGTGAGAGGCTCGCACGCCGATGAGGGAAACCCTAGGGACCGCGAGAGGAATTTTAAAATTAATTAAAACTAGTTCATCTCTTTTTATTTGTAAATCTCAATTTTATCTTGTGTAAAATAAGTTTCTTAACTCATTAGCCTCAATATATAAAGATTGTAAGTTTTTTCTTTTTTGAACATATTGGCAAGGGACGGTTCGAAACCGTTCAGGAGAAGGGGGGAAATGCACAACTGACTGGCTTGATGCCAGTGGGCTTCAAGGGCCGGGTGAAGATTGTAAGTTTTAAAATCTTAATTTTTTTATAAAAAAAATAAAAATTGAGAATGGGTATTAGAAACTAGCTTTTGGTGCAGATGACACACAAGACCAAAAGAAGGGCATAAGAAGCAAATCATAAGCAAGCAAGCAAAGGGATTGCTATCCCGCTGCTACAAAAAGTTGACGAGGCATCACTAAATTTTGCTTTTGGTAAAGGCATTTTGCGTATACATCAAGGCTAAGAGAGAAATACAAAAAGCTGAAAGAAAGAATAGGATGAAAACTTTTTGGGATTGATGGGTAGTTTTGGTAAAATTTTTAAATTCATCTTATAAAATATAAGTAGGAACACATTTATCTCTAAAAAAATAAGAATAAATTATTTTTTTAAATTATAAATTAACATAAATTATTTTTTTTCAAAAAAAACATTAGAATTTAATTTTTTATGTTAATATTTTTTAACAAAAAATATTAAAAAAATAATTTATATTGATTTATAATTTAAAGTGACAATTTATTTTTGTTTTTTTTTTTAAATAAATATATCTCCGATATTTTTTGAGGTAAATTTAAGAGTTCTGTTTATATATTTTTTTTCTGACAGGAGTAGTCTATGTCAGTAGGTAACAAAGATAGCCCCAGGCACTGCAATCATAGGCACTGAGCTCATGTTCTAGCATCATTTGGACAAAATTCACAGTACTGAAATGAACAGAACAAAGTAGTGGATGGGGATGATCATTGGTTTTCGTGTCGGTTCACTTGACGCTGGACCTGCAACTGCAACACGGCATCCCAAATTTAGACTATGCTCCAGCTCTTTTTAATGAGCTTTTAACTCCTTTATTGGGTAAAGTTTGTATTTAATTTTTTATTTTATTAAATGTGAAATTTTTAATTTTTTATTTTATATTATAAAATTTTTAATTTTTAAATTTAAGAATTTAAAGGTCTTAATTCATATATCAATAGAATCTGTTAATTAATTTTTTTTTTATGGATCACTCAGTATTTCAAAACTTATTAAGTCACCGATTAATTTAAATTCGAATTGACAGAACCTAATGGGTGACAAAGTTTTTTTTTATGAATTTTAATGAAATTGTATTCTCAAAACTTGAAATCAAGACATCTGATTAAACTGAAAAAGGTTTTTTACCAACTTATTTATCACTCATGAGTATTAATTTTTTTTAAGGTAAAAATAAAATATTTAGATGATTAGTTTTTAAAAATTAAAAATATAATAATTTAGTTTTAAAAGGTAAAAAATTTTAAAAATTAGTAACTTAAAAATAATTAGTGTATGATTTTGTTACATATATAAGAATAATATTAGATATTTACAATTAAATTAAGTAATTAGCTTAATATGAAGGAATAAATTTAATTGAGATTAAATTTTTTTTGATTATATTCTTCTTATTTCTTGGATTTTCTATCTTAATTCAGCCAATAAATTTTCTTTAATTATAATCAAATTTTTTTTTTCAAATTGAGCTAATTATTTGATTTGATTTTAGATATTTAATACTGTTTTAGTGTATACGAGAAAGTCATTTATTAATTTTTTTAGTTTACTATTTTTAAAAATTTTTAAAATTTTAAAATTAAAATTTTATATTTTTAATATCTGAGAATTGATCTCGTAAATATTTTATTCTTACTTTAACACAAAGTTAATGGATTTCGTTAATTTAGGAATTAAAATATCCAAATATTCAAATTTAAGGGTTAAAAACTTTATACTATAAAGTGAGGGATTAAAAACTTCTAATTTAATAAAATAGAAGGGATAAATCTCTTTCACAGTTAAATTCAATCTCATTGCATCCTGGAAAATAGTTTAAAGAAAAAAGGCAAAAAAAGAAAAAAAGGAAGCCAAAGCCTTATTTGTATTTTGCATATTATTTTTTCTATAGTTAATATTTTTTATAATTTTTATTTTTGGTTAATATTTTTT